ATGCTACACACTGCAGTTAGCTAACACTTTCATTACTAAAAAGCTTTGTGGGAATTTATTGGCACCAGGGTGAACTTTATGGTAAGTTTTTCCTCATAATATTGTATTTTGATGTGTTTGTTTTTCATTATCATTAGCATCGCAAGATTTGTTTAGTTTACACGTCCGTAATGCACACCCGCCTTCAGAGTCAAGAACCAATCAAATTTTGTGAAGACAAGCKATCTGAGAGCGCGATTCGCAACGCTGCCGTCGCTATCGCATCCCGTGTGTCTGGTTTTCACCYTGGCTGCGATGACAGCCGCTAATCGCTGTAGTTTGTCGCTGCCCGTGTGTTGAGCCCTTAAGGCCCAGCCTGGCCTGGACACAGTCAACTGGACTCATTCTACCCAGACCCTGGGTGTGTTTGCTCTGAGCAGAGTGCTGCCTCGATGTGGGCAGGGATCATCAAATGAAAAAAAAATTTGACACAATTTTATTTGTGGCACAATGGATGACCTCAAGATGGTGGTAATTCTCTCCAGACAAGACAACAGAGGACTGGTAGTAGTTTGTGACAGTTACAGTTCAAACAGGGCACATCCGCCCGGCTCGAATAGAACCCCAGGTCAGGCTGGAAGTGCAAATATGCAGAAGCTGGGTTTGAACCCAGGCTTAGAAAGACAAAATACCATTTGTGACCAGTTGTTATCCCATACCTTATAAGTGCMAAGCCATTATTATTTTGTACCCATTCACTTAACCTCTGCATATATCCTTGTGGCCCAGCATGCACTTAGAGGCACCAGGTCCACATGGCTCTGCACATTATCATACTGTATACTGTAAAGTGTTGATCTTTACAACAAATATTTATAGTGAATAAACAAATGGAGAAAAATTCTCCAACACCTGTAAGGGTACAGCAGCAGTGTGTAAACGTATCAGGTACAGACTTTAGACCAGCGATGGGTAATCCTGGTCCTCTAGCGCAGTTATCCTGCATGTTTTACTGGTTTCTCTGCTCAAACACACCTGATCCAGTGATTGAATTACCTCTTCAAGTTCAAGTTCTGCAGATGCCTGTTAATCACCTATTCATTCAAATCAGGAGTCTTGGAGCAGAGAAACAAGTAAAACATGCAAGACACCTACCCTGCTTGTGTTTTAGGCAAGCATAATTGTTATTTTTGGCAGTGTAATGCACAATTTAAATATAACTTTTTTTTTAAATCCAGGGCTAGTCAGAAAACATTATGCCCTGGCCTCAACCTCGAACACCATCGCTCATTCACATTAATATTCTTAATACATAAAAAAGTTCCAAATCTGCATATCTTCTGTTAAAAACATGAAATGACAGCCGAAAACAKAACTTCACAAWAAYATTTATGTACTCCAAATATATACATATGAAATATTTTAGAGTAAACAAAGCTCCTGAAACACAACACAAAGCTTGCCGACACAGTAAAATATCTTCACTGATGTTTATTTTTACTAGTCTATGGGAAAACCACAAAAACCCAAACAAAAAGGCAAAAAGGCAAATAAATAAATAAACAAATAAGTAAATAAATAAATAAAAAAATAAATAACCAATAYAGGCAAACAAGAAAATTTAATATATTTAGATGTAACTAAAAGTGTTTTACAATCTAATGGTATAAAATGAACTACAAAGCAAATTCTGAACATTTACAGTCAAAACAAACAAAAATGGAAAAATATGATCCACATCATCAAAAAAGCAAATAAAGAGATATAATCTATAACAAGGTTTCTACACATTCAGTAAGTTAAACTGAAGACCTGAAATGTAAAATCTGAATGTACTGAGGGCCTAAACTTGAAATAAAAAAAATAAAAACCTTTTGTGACTTCAGGTACCTGTAGAAACCAACAAAGAAATCATACATTCAAAAAAGTCAATAGGTCCCATAATATAGCCCATAAGGACTCACAGAGACACTGGTGTCACTGTGAGTCCTCAGGTTCTATCATGAAAGTAGAAATGGGTCCAGGTTCTAAAGGGTTAAATGTCAACGCCAAATTTTATAGTAAGGGTAACTCTCATCTTTGAGTATTTTCAGTCACAATGTCTGAGTCTGTGTTGCAATTACTTAGAGCAGCAATAAAACTTAATGAAAAAAACAAAACAAAATAGAAAACATACTATATATATATATATATATATACGTATATAAATGTAAACAAACAATTCATTTTGAAGAAACCATGTGACCAAAAACTAAACTAACCTCCAAGAATCACAGTATTTTTTATTAGATATCATTTTAATCCTTTAGAAATAGTGTAACAGCTAATATTTTACCCTCTTAATGGAAATTAGTCAATTATTCCTAAAAAAAACTGGAAAGTGAATTGAAATTTCACAGTCACTAGAGTCTACTTACATTAACTTAACTGCTCCAAAAAGCCAGCAGAGAGTCGGCGATGTAATGAGCTTGAGTGAAAGTTGTTGTTTTTGCCAGTCTGCACAAATTAAATACTTGACTGGTAATAGGTGCTTTTGCTGTTCTTTTGGTCCTGGAACTGAAAACAAATTCTGCAATTTGCAGCTGCGTGCTGGTCTCGTTCCAAGCTGCGAGCAGACATTTCAGTTTGGGCGAAAGCACTGAAATGAGACGAGTCCAGGCAACTCATTAGGCTGTAGAGTTTACTGGGAGACAAACTTCTGCCTGCATGTCTAAAGTGACGTTTATGATTACATACAATGTTACTTAGTACTTTTTAATTAGTCTGGTTTTAAAATTTTAGATCTATATATATATAAAACAATGATATTAATCTAAATTTAACTTTCTCATTAGCTTTATTTATTCCATTTTGCTCATTTGTTTCTTTTAGATCTTTTTTTTCATTTCTGTTAAACTTGCTGTTTAGTATTCTCCTCACAGCTCGTCCGTACTGTAATTGACTCTGAAATGAAAGATATTAGCGATAAGCCCTTCAGGTTTGTCAGAGCTGCTCATCACCTCACCATTCGTCCTCTGGCTTCCCTTTCTCATCCATCTGTCCATCCAGCCTTCACCTCAGGCCGTACTTTCCAAAAGGGCTTAGAAATCAATTTTACAATCGCCAGGCAGAAGAGGAGGAGGAGCGCATGCTTTTTGCTCAGGCAGGTCCTGCTAACCCCACCCCTCGAGAGGCATTTGGAGTTTCATCAGGACTCAACAACATCCAGGGGCCAAAGCTTTGAAGGGTCGCGTGACAGATCATGCAATTAGATCGTGCTTGATGGACGACTGTTGACGTGGCGTCAGCGGAGATAAAAATTGGTGAAAACTGGACAGGATGTTAAACTTTCATGGTGGTGCCCAACCTGCCTGCTTCTGACAGAAAACAAAACTTAACGCTTGGGCATCATTTTCCCAAAAGTGGTACAATGTTTGATATGCTAATAAAAACAATGAAGAAGTCATTAAATGTGTGGTTTATTGTGGGAGATTTTATATAAAAACATTAATACTGGGAGAAATTCATGTTTATATTTAAAAGGCACTTTATACTGTGACACTTAAACTGTACACAGTGAAGAAATTTATGGTTATTAGAGGTTGGTACTGATGTTAAAAGCACAACACTATATTTTTAGGTTTTCCTTTTTATAATGTTGACAATGTTTAATCTATTATGTTTTGACTGATATAGATTAGTTACAGTCTGAATTATAACAACACATAATTAAAACGTTATGAGAACAGTAGATGAGATGTTTGTCTGAATGCCTGTGATTCAGCCGTAGGTCAGTAGGGGGCGAACGCAGGCATTGAAGAACATGTATAAATTGATGTACTTCCTGGTTTTTCGGCAGTGTGGTTTCCTGTCAGCTCCGGTGACATTAAACCTCACTCAGTTCCAGAATTCTGGTGTTGTATGGTTTGACTCCTTCCACAAATCATTTTATTTAACAATGATGKTTTTAATATTGACTTCAGTCTATTGAACACGTATTTTTCTTACAATAAAAGTAAGTAATCATCATCATCATCAGTCCCTTAGCCTAGTGTCTTAGGGGCAGTAGAAACATTTACAAGCAAACTCCACCTGAACTGATCCTCAGGAAAACGGTTGAGGACTCCAACAAATGTCATTCACTGAGGAGGACGACCCCTTTTATGAGTTCCTTYAGCATTTTCTTAAAGAATCACGTTTGATATGGTTCCCTTGACATTCACTACATGGGCAAACCACTTCAGTTTCTTCTACTTAATCTGATTCAAGAAGGAGTCATAACCCCCAACGAGGACATCGACTCTATGGTGGATCTCAGTTTAAGTACTAGACCAGTGAACCTGCAGCAAGTGGCGGTAACAGGTCATTTTAAACGCACAGATTTTTTTTCTCTATCTCAACATTCAGAGTCCAGGTTTCTGCAGCATAGAGAAGCAATGAGTGTTGTAT